TCTCGGAACCCCTTTTGAACCTCTGGAGATTTTACACTGAAGAATTCTTCCTAAAGTGAAGAAAATGATGGAAAACTGTGAGCATCTTCTTCAGAAGATTATTTAACAGTGTATCTTCAGAAAGAGGCTTCTCCAGATCCAGAGCAAGACAGACCACAACAGAAGTTCCCTCCTGTCTACAGTTATGAACACCGACAGATGTTGTTACAAAAAAAGACACACAAAAAAACTGAGTCACAGCAACATTTAATTTCCCTTTGGGAATAATAGAATATTTTGATCATGAAATATAATTTCAATTGCATGTCAAACAGGTTTCTAGAAATTCCTTCTTTGCTCTCTGAAAATTGTATAATCAGAAATATATTTTCCACGTGTGATGCTGAAAAACTATTCCAAAAACTGTAGTTAAAAGCCTTCAGCTTATCCAAAATGCTGCAGCCAGAGTTCTGATGAAAATTAAAAAGACTGATATCTCTCTTCTTTTGCTTCACTTCACTGGCTTCTTTTTAGATCCAGAATAGAAATTTAAATCCTCATGTTGAAAGCCCAATTCCTTTCCTATATTTGAGATCTGATCCCTACTATGTTCTTAACAGAACATTTCACGCTCAATCTGCAGGTTTATAAGTGGTTCCTAAAATTTTTAAAAGTGAGATCTTGGTTATCAGGCTCCTCTCCTGTTGGGTCATTATCCTGTTGCAAGACCCATAACCTGTGATTGAGTCCACGCTCAGACACTGGGCAGTACATTCCCCTTTAAATTCCCCTAGTTTGAGATTTCTTGGTATACCGTAGAGATTGGACACCCTGTGCCAGATAAAAAAAAACCCCAGAGCATAACAGAGCCTCCTACATGTTTCACAGTAGACACCGTTCTTTCTTCATATGCTTTATACAGTCAGGTCCATAAATATTGGGACATCAACACAATTCTCTTTTTGGCTCTATACACCACCACAATGGATTTGAAATTAAACAAACAAGATGTGCTTTATTTGCAGACTTTCAGCTTTAATTTGAGGGTATTTGCATCCAAATCAGATGAACGGTGTAGGAATTACAACAGTGTTAATATGTGCCTGCCACTTTTTAAGGGACCAAAAGTAATAAGACAGATTAATAATCAAACTTTCACTTTTTAATACTTGGTTGCAAATCCTTTGCAGGCAATTACAGGCTGAAGTCTGGAAGGCATAGACATCACCAGACACTGGGTTTCATCCCTGATGATGCTCTGACAGGCCTCTACTGCAACGGTCTTCAGTTCCTGCTTGTTCTTGGGGCATTTTCCCTTCAGCAAGTGAAATGCATGCTCAATCGGATTCAGGCCAGGTGATTGACTTGGCCAATGCATAACATTCTACTTCTTTCCCTTACAAAACTCTTTGGTTGCTTTTGCAGTATGCTTTGGGTCATTGTCCATCTGCACTGTGAAGCACCTTCCAATGAGTTCTGAAGCATTTGGCTGAAACGGTTCAGAATTCATCCTGCTGCTTTTGTCAGCAGTCACATCATCTATAAATACAACAGAACCAGTTCCATTGGCAGCCATACATGCCCACGCCATGACGCTACCACCACCATGCTTCACTGATGAGGTGGTATGCTTTGGATCATGAGCAGTTCCTTTCCTTCTCCACACTCTTCTTTCCATCACTCTGGTACAAGTTGATCTTGGTCTCATCCGTCCAAAGAATGTTGTTCCAGGACTGTGAAGGCTTTTTTAGATGTTGTTTGGCAAACTCTAATCTGGCCTTCCGGTTTTTAAGGCTCACCAATGGTTTACATCTTGTGTTTTCTTCACCAGGGAAAGAATTCTTCGGTCATTCACCACAGTGGTTTTCCGAGGTCTTCTGGGTCTTTTGGTGTTGCTGAGAATCACCGGTGCGTTCTTTCTTCTTAAGAATGTTCCCAACACTTGATTTGGCCACACCTAATGTTTTAGCTATCTCTCTGATGGGTTTGTTGTGATTTTTCAGCCTAATGATGGCTTGCTTCACTGATAGCGACAGCTCTTTAGATCTCATATTGAGAGTTGACAGCAACAGATTCCAAATGCAAATAGCAGACTTGAAATGAACTCTGGACCTTTTATCTGCTCCTTGTAAATGGGGCAACGAGGGAATAACACACACCTGGCCATGGAACAGCTGAGCAGCAGATATTCCCATTACTTTTGGTCCCTTTAAAAAGTGGCAGGCACATATGCA